GCGGGGATCAGTAATTCGATCCTGGTGGGGAAGAGGTGACTTCGATAAAAGATTAACGTGTATGAATATATTCTAGCTGCCTGTCCCCTGACACTATGAATTAATTAAAATACAAAATAAGCAAAATATAGTTATTATACTAAATTTAAACTCACACTGTCGTTCAAGGCCTTGTGGCGCAACGGATAACGCGTCTGACTACGGATCAGAAGATTCCAGGTTCGAATCCTGGCAAGGTCGTACAAATTTTATTTTTCTCTAACTAAATATTGTACATTTATTGCAAGCTGTAGCAATCCGGGCTTTTCCTTCACCTGTATGTTATTTTTATCAGGTGACGCACATCTTAAATATTATTTTATGCCGTTTTGGTCGCCCAGCCTGTTGCTAAAACAAGTTCCTCTTAACGTTCTATATTTGAACAGTCCAATTTCGAAAGAAATTGGACTGTTAATACACAAGTATCTTGATTCACTTACATTGAATTGCGGTGTCTACGTATGCTAAACAAACTAACTTTTTTCTTACGTACCTATTACCCAGTCTGTGAGCAGTAGTGGAGAGGTTTCAGAGGCAATCAGGATCTGAATCAAGAAGTCATTTAACTGAACAAATCAATTAAAACTGAATATGTGTGTGTGTGGACCTGATCCAAAAACCATAGTCAAACTCTTCTACTATTGTTGATATGTATATGTATCTGTGTACATGTATGCATATCCTTGCCCGAAACGATGTGTGTAATAGTAGCGCATGTATGTACTAGCTCTATCTATAAATCCAACATTATGTTTAACTCCCCCTTGTATATATGTACTTTATCTGAATAAACATTTGATTTGATTTGTGTGTATATATGTACATGTGTATATAATATTAACAATTGTGTAACTAGCTTCACAAGATTGTCACTTGTTTAGCTAAGGGTTCAGTTCCTGAACCCATTATGTGCCTCTGTAACCCTTACCACCACCGCCCACCTGATGAGTATGGGGTGCATAATTAAGAAATGAATAAGATAATATTGTTACTACTTGTAATACTACAGTCACCGCCACATCGCCTACAGTTACTATTTACATTACTAACAGAAACATCATCATCAACGTTGTCATCAACAGTTAATCTTTCATGAAAATAAACAATTGTGCTCACCAGGGATCGAACCTGGGACCTTCTGTGTGTTAGACAGATGTGATAACCACTACACCATGAGCACCTGATAGCGCTGTGCAAAGTCAGCTATTAATTTTAAATTTTGTATTTGGATAGACGATATAAATGTTATAATAATTATAATATTTTATTTATACAAGAGTATATACGTGCATATATATGATACGTGAAGAGTTGAGGACAAACATAACTCCGCTTGGTTCTGGTATAATCGCTGACAGAACAACCTACCACTGTCCAACCTGAGCCTGTCTTCAGGGCAAGTCCATTACAATGAGAACCCCCCCCCCCCCCTACTTTTCAAACCACCTGATTAGTTATCTCGATATTTATAATGGTCTGAAAGTGTATAACTACATGTAAACTGGCAAGTGATCCTTTGTCCTAAACTCTCAAAAAATATTTTATTATAAAGCGTTAGTTTAAAATTGAAAAGTATATGCTAAAAACGGTTTTCTTTCAAAGTGTCTGAAGAATTTGATTATCTTGAAACGGAATTCTCGGGTATGCTCAAATAGTTTTCGAATTCCATATTTCACATTTCATCAAGCTCAACATAATTTATCCGAGTGCCACTAACACACTAGTGGCCTCGACGAGGAAAGGTGCTTGTCAAAGGTGTCCCCATTTGATCTGATATTTTTTTCCAGCTGGATTTTAAAATATAAAAGTTTGGGCATTTACGGCTTCGGCGGGTATGTGGTTCCATGGGTTAATAACCCTGTAGGTGAAAAATATGTTTTCAGTCCTGACGGCCTTACCTAAGGTATCCTTAACCTAATCTAACCATTGCAATACGTAGTCGCTCTGAATTCCCTTAAGTCTATTTCCTCCCTGAGGACAAGCTGCCTATCTTTCTCATAGCAAACATAGACATCACACCATCAGATACCAAAAAATTAACCTTCAGACTGCACAGCAAAGCAGCAATATGAACTCCTATAAATGCATTTCACAACATAAACTGGTAATCTGAATTCAAGAATACACAATATCAATTCATTAACCGTCATCTTCCTCACAAAAATTCTAAGCCTCTACAACACACACTGTCCTCTCCTCACCAAGCAAGTAACTACCAAAATATTAAACAGCCCATGGCTCACTAGTGGCATCTTAAAGCCTTTAACAAGAAACGCAAATATAAAAAACATAGGATTAACCTAATTACAAAGAATACCCCACCACCCGCTGCATCGTCACACACGCAGGATCCTCCTTGCATCCGGCTACCACATCCACCGCAGCTGTTGCCATTCGGTCACTTCCTGAACGTAGGTTGACACCATCCTGTACTCGAGACTCATCATCACTATCGATACCATCCGACTGGGACACCTCACCACCCACCCGCAATGGAGGAAAGTCCAGGTCTCTAAAGATATTCTCCCGGTCAGCCAGATTAACAGTACATCCGACGGCCAAATTGCCGAGACACCCACATTTGTAACATGCCCTGGGCGGCCCCGTGTAGAGGAAACACACTTTATACCCCACAAGCATCACAGAAGAGACGTCCTGTTTAATGACCATCATGACGGACCGGGTGCCATACAGTAGACCCTTCGCTCTACCAAATGAATACATGTTCTGACGAATACCTTCCATTTTTCCAAACCAATCCAGGACACGAAGGATGAGGTCTTCCAACATTTCAAAAGGCGCGTCCTTCACTACTACAAACGAAAAAGTCTGACTCATGTCATCCACACAGACTGTACTTACCTTAGTAGCCGTGACTGTCATGGCAATTCTGCAGCTGCGTCACCTTTCCCTCGTAACACACCATAAACTCCAGGAAGGTCGTAACTTCACAGTACGGTCGTAATGAACCACTTGAAAACCAACCAGAATCCTCACTGTTTACTCAAAAAATGTAGAAAATCCTAGCACACAACCTGGTTGATTTGGTTGATTGACAAGGTAGCAAAATCCACATTGCATGAAAACCGTCGCAGCTGGGAGCGAGGACGACCCCATACTAACAACAAAGCTACACCTGCAGCGAGGACAAGCACCAGGCAGGGCGAAGCAGCAGTTCACCAGTTGTAAACATCAGGCCACCATGGGACCCGAGTACTCACACACACACACGTTCACCCCCCTACCGCGGCCAGTCACGGTCCTCATCGAGGACAGGTTGACTGATTTTGTGCATTTACTATGTACCTAATACCCATTCCGTGGGCGGTAGTGGACCCCATATCCATCCCGTGGGTGGTTGTGGATCCCATACCCATCCCATCGGCGTTAATGGACCCCTTAGTGGACTATAGCGGCCGCCTACGCCTTCCGCGGGTGGTATTATATCCCATACCCATTCTGTGGGCAGTAGTGGACCCCATGTCCATCCCATGGGCGGTAATAAACCTACAATTAGTTCACGAACTGGACCACAACAGTCGCTAAGCCGAGCAATTTCAATCTGTGGTAAGCCAATTACATAAGGTTACTAATAATCTACGCTACACCCATCCAATAGCAGTAAAATGAACAATTTGGAGGATATCAATCGAGGTCACTTCTTTAAAAGATCAACTGTAACATAAACAAGGGGCAACAGCTTCAAGCTCAACAAGCCACAGTGAAACGTCAAATGAGTTTTCACCCATACCGTTATAAACCCATGGTACCACCCATACCGTTATAAACCCACGGTACCACCCATACCGTTATAAACCCATGGTACCGCCCATACCGTTATAAACCCATGGTACCGCCCATACCGTTATAAACCCATGGTACCGCCCATACTGTTATAAACCCATGGTACCGCCCATACCGTTATAAACCCAAGGTACCGCCCATACCGTTATAAACCCATGGTACCGCCCATACCGTTATAAACCCATGGTACCTTCCAAACCAATATAAACCTATGGTACCGTCGAAGCCGCAGATGTCAAGGAATTACTTCAGTTCAACCTCCAGTCGAACAATTTAATTCTCAAGAACAATAGGCAGACCTTTGACAAACCGCCGGCTTCTTGTTCCCGTCGAGGCCGCTAGAGAGATAATGACTTTCAGGCAAATTCAGGTAAAAAGTTAAGTCATCCCAGAACTAAGTCAACTTTTATACCACGAAATGATGAGGGTCTGGATCACGACTAACAACTCTACTCACAGGACTGATCTCTGATACCTTTAAACTACCGAACATATCAAAAGGTATTAATTATTCTATATTACTTCATTAAAAGTATAATATAACTCATGCAATGGGCAATGCAACTTTAAGCTCAACAAGCCACAGTGTAGGACCAAAAACAAGAGATGCTTTTTCACCTGTAATATAAAAAATAAACATAATCGTCCATCCACCGAAGTCGTAAATATTAAGTTCAAACTACATCTGGAAAAATCCACAGGAATGATATTGGACTTAATTAATTTGACAGGCCACGCCTGCTTCCAGCTCCCGTTGAGACTATATATATTAGTAGTCTACGTTAATCATTCACTTCACACCTCATATTTCATAAAAACTACGCAAATTTGTCTTTACATAATTATCATACAGTGATCAAGCCACATTCACACCCGAGACCCACGCCTCCCCCCTGCCAAAAATATTTATGCAAGGCACCGCGGGCATGATACACCTGTCCTGAGATTTACGCTTGACAGGATTTTGTTAACACATTATAAAGTAGCGTATCAGGTGACGATATAGATAGATGCAACGAGGAAATGTCTGTAATAGTTAATAATGCTTTGAGAGTCTTGGTTAATACTAGATTGAATTGTCTGGCAACAATATTCTCGTGACAGCTTGTAGGTGGGAGCCCGTAGCCCGTTTTCAATATATATATAGTCATGAGAGTCTTTACAGTTTCCCCAGTGCAGCACTGCGTGTTCGGTGGGCGTCTATGTGCACCACATCAGTCAACACTGCTAATTTGAGGTGACCAGTGGTCATTTATTGACTTTTCACCTAAAGTGCTCAACGTTCACCTTGTCAATACTTCAGTCACAGATAAAGTCGAGCACCAAGACGTACAAGTGTTCAGTGTTATTCACTGCAGTAGTAAAAAATCTGTTATATCAACTAAACAGAGTTGAGTCTTAATAACTAAGTGTTGAACCCATGATAATTAGTCATTTATATGGGTATCTAAGTCCATTTATATACTCGGATTTGTGTTAAGATACGAACTGTTCATCTATATATCCTGCACAGTACAGTCCTTCTGGGTTTAATTAATTGCAAGTATTCTGATTATCATAGATGTTGCGGCCGTTGCAAGCGGTGTTGAGTATTGATTTCTGCATCCTTCTCCAGGACCCATCTTAGTGCCCAGTGTTGATCTCCGCTCACTACTCCAGGACCCATCTTAGTGCCCAGTGTTGATCTCCGCTCACTACTCCAAGACCCATCTTAGTGCCCAGTGTTGATCTCCGCTCACTACTCCAGGACCCATCTTAGTGCCCAGTGTTGATCTCCGCTCACTACTCCAGGACCCATCTTAGTGCCCAGTGTTGATCTCCGCTCACTACTCCAGGACCCATCTTAATGCCCAGTGTTGATCTCCGCTCACTACTCCAGGACCCATCTTAGTGCCCAGTGTTGATCTCCGCTCACTTCTCCAGGACCTATTTGAACATTTAGAGTATATCATACTGGTCTACGATACACGTTACCGCTTCCTCTCAACTGTTCATTCCCATCTAAAGAAGTAGAAGATAACAGTTATCTCAATGATGAGATTTTTTTCCTTCGGTCGCCGTGACCCGGACGCTGAAGATAATCCCCGGAAGAGTCGAGAAGAGTCCAAGGGCCACGAGCGTCGACGTGGGCATCTTAGACCTCCGGGGCATTGTTGCAGGGGTGGGCACCTCAGCCCACATCGGTACCACAAGCCTCATGCCCACCGAAGTCCTAACAGACATCCCAGCCTGCGAGAGAACAGAAGTCCACAGAGGTACCTCAGTCAGCCTGAACATCACAGCCGTCGAAGTTCAGACTCCAGCGCTAGTGGACGCCGGGGTTCACGGGGGAGCAACAGCCCAAATGGGCATTGTAGCCCGAGTAGACATAATCGTAGCCCAAGAGAACAGAACCACAGCCGTAGCCCAAGTGGAAGACACAGCCCTATTGGGCGCCGCCACAGCCTAAGTGAACAGTGCCCAAACCCAAGTGGACACCACAGCCCCATTGAGCGCCGACACAGTATAAGTGGAAATCAGAACCCAGAGGAACACCACAGACATCTGGGTTGTCGAGGAAACGCCACCCACCACGATCGTCACTGACCACACGGACAACATTGCCAACATCACAACTTACAGGAACATCGTGCTTCGCCGGGACGTTCTGGCCGTGTGACCCCAAAGTTCCCGCATACATAGTTATGTCTATTTTGTACACCATGAACAGCTGGGACTCAACAAATGTATAATATTGTACATAGGAATCACTTTTTAAAACTTCTAGAATCAAAGGACTTCTTTTGCATCACAACTTTAACAATTTGTATTAAACCGTATGTGCTGCATTTGGCTGTGTGGCTGCATTTAATATTTTACTTTGTTTCCTGTATATATATAAAATATACTGGGAATTAGGTATAAATGTTTGTGAATTTTATATGTAGTTATTGGTGATAGAACTACCGAGTTTGTGATTATTATAGTCTTCTTTCCCAATGTTTATTTTACTGACACGCTATAGTTTTGAACACTTATTCAGTATAGCGTCTGAAACTGTTGTTAAACAGATCCAAATGTTTAAAAACTTTAGTTAGTAGTTATAGGCCTAGTCAGCTGAAGATATGTACTTATTAGCCTAATATATTAATTCATATTCGCTATGCAGTAATTTATTATTACAAATCCTCAAAGAACTGTAGATCTTTTAGTATTAATTAAACCACAAAAATAAAACATTATTTTATTGGCTACTTTTCTCTACAACTTTTCAAAACTATTTTATACAAATACGCATTTTTTATAGTTTCAATATGAATAACTATTGATTATCATGATGTGCTAGTATGACTGGTGTATGATGTAATAATGTAATGTAATAATTGTGCTGGTATGCATTTACGCACAAGGGTTATATACTCCGAACAATATACTCCGGTCATGGTATATACTGTATACTATTAAGAGTACTAAAGTATACTTACTGGTTGCTCAACAGCTCTTGCAGTAGCTTTAATAACCTTCCCGGAAAGGTTCATAGGCTTTAAACCCAACTTAAACCAACTGTCCAATATAACTATACATTTCTAAACTTGTCAAAAGCAGATATGTAATGATAATTTTCAAAAAATTGAGTTAATCGCAGGAACATTATAGAACACTTAAATTACTTAAAAAAAGAAGTACAAAATTCTGGATACCTGCCTAGCAAGTTTACGGGAGAAAAATAATGCCATGAACACACATGTATATAAAAAAATGAAGCTTTCAGAAAAATATCGTCGACTTATCGACAGTAGATATTATAGATTTAAGAGATGCAAGCAAACGTAATTGAGGGTTTGAGGTTGTTTTAGATTCAGCTACTCTGAACAAAAAGTTCCAAGTAGCACGGGCTATGGTGAGCCCGTAGTGGACTTGGTTTGAGGTAACGGTGAATTTTCAAGAATCTCATAGCTGATTTGGGGCAATATTTTATTTGTATTGGGGTAGATAAGCAGGGCCGGATTTGTCAGGGGGCAATTGCCCCGGCCTCCCTCCTTGGCTGAGGGGCCTCCAGACTTCCTTTATAAAAAATATAATAATAGTGATTTGTTTTAAACTTTTGTTGCTGGTTGTGAATAGAAAAAGGAAAACTAAACTTCTTTACTATTCTTTTGATCGGCGGTTATTTAGTATGAATTCAATAATTAATATCTGATAGAGCAGTATAAAAATAAAAACTTAGCAGGGGTGTGCATATGGATGTGCAGGGAATTTAAAGAAATAAAGGCAATACCTTTTCATACCATATCTGATCATCAGTATAGTTCACAACATTTTAGCGTATGTTACAAACTGAAAAATGTAATAAAAGTTATTCTTAGTCAACACGAGTGAGAAAAATAAATTCAGACAAGTGTCTTCTTCGGACTCAAACTTTTTTTTCGAACATACGCGGTTTATTACCATTGTAATTCACTTTCCATTTGTCATGTAATTTAATTTCTATGTTGAGGGCCTCTCGAATTTGAGGAGTTCCGGCCCCCCCCCCTCCCCCTCAATGTTTAAATCCGGCTCTGTGGATAAGATCTTTCAGGCGTATGAAAAATTGTTTGGGCGGCCAAGAAACTTCTGTGTCTATATAATCGTGGTGTGTAGCCGTGAGTGGAACACAGGTGGAGCTACAAGTGTAAACACAGGTGGAGCTACAAGTGTAAATACACTTGTAGCACAAGTCTATCTACCTACGATCTTGGCGAGGAGAAGAGCTCCTATTTCAACGTAGGCGGCAGAGATAATTATGTTAAACTTAATTGCGTGCTCCTGTAGGCGATAACCGCACTTCTCCTCAGTCGCCTTGTTATTGATACTTGCTCCCAACCCCACAACAGTTGCCAAACTCCCGGTTACCTGTTTACTGCTAGGTGAACAGATGCATTAGGTGAAAGGAAACGTGTCCAACCATTTATATCCATACTGGGAATCCCCGCTTGCGAGTCGAGCGGGGAAAGAAAACTATCGGGAGAAAGCACCAAGCCATTACGACTACTGTATATAGCACTAGGAAGGGATCGGGATAATGAGAGATTCAGCACCACTCCTGTGCCAGGAAAGTTCACTACGGGCTCACCATAGCCCGTGCTACTTGGAACTTGTTCCGAGTAGCTGAATCTATAACAACAACAACATCAGGATAATGATTTGGGATGGGACGGGGGGAAAGGAATGGTAATCAATCACTTGGACGATCGGGGAGTGAACGCCAACCTGCATGAAACGAGACCGCTCTACCGTCCAGCCCAAGTGAGTCGCCCACGAAGCCATCTTAGGTGTCATTACTATTAATTAATGACCTGGTCATTACTATTAATTAATGACCAGGTAGCGTTTTCCAGCCATGATCAAGGTACGGTAGAGAATATTCCGAGGTGCATGATGAATCTTGGTTTAGGTACTTAAACTAAATTTGCAAACGGCGTACTGCACCCCCCTGGTTGGGGGGAGTTTGGAGATGTGTATGTGGGTTCGTGCCAAAGGCTATCTGTGGTGCTCTCCACAAATACGCAGACAACCGTATCTTTGCCAAGTTCTTGACATTTTTTTTTTGCGAATGTATTTTTTGGTGAATGTTTTGAAGATATTTATAATTTGGCTATGAACAGTAGGCTTCATTATATGTTGAGGCTTGTCCTTATTATGTATGTTTTTGTGTCATCCTTATTTCTGTTTTTGTCTGCTTACATACACATTAACACATTTAGACACGCATGCACTTGTCGGGGCTGCCTGTCCCCGACAAAATTATTTACATTTTTAAATATGTTTAAACCACAACCGAAAATACAGATTGTAGGTGCTAAAAATGTATAGGTTTCTTGTTCACTATTATTGAAATATTTCTTGTTCACTATTATTGAAATTCTGTTGACAGATGTATAATAGATCAAACAAAACCTGACAAGTCACACACCAATTTACTAGATCTTAAGTCTTCCTTTGATATTGCAAACCAACATGTCACTCTTATCAAGATTCTCCACGAGACCTGGTCGGGGATCGGGCCGCGGGGACGATGAACCCCGAAATCATCGCAAAATAAGCATCAAAGGTTACTTATCCAAGAGGAAGACTTCTGCATTGTTCCAAGAATATATAAGTGTAATAATTAAGAGAGTTTGAACTAGGTACTGCGCACAGGGAGGTGTCCTCGGCGGTATCTTAAAGCATTCTCAGAAAAGTTGTTTTGTACGCGCTTGATTTCCTAAGCACCATTGATAACTACGGGCTCACCATAGCCCGTGCTAATTGGAACTTTGTTCCAGGTAGCGAATCTTTAACAACAACCATTGATAGTGTTACTAATATTAATATTTTATTTGGTATTAAAAACCTGAAAAATTTATAAAATTATGAGAGGCAAAGTTATTTTGTATAATAGATGCAAAGGAAAGTGACACCAATTGTTGAATCCACGAAAAAAGAAGAAATTAAACATCTGCTCCCGCCAGGGCTCGAACCTGGGACCTTCTGCGTGTAAAGCAGACGTGATATCCACTACACTACGAGAGCTGCTTACCCTTGCAGGGCAACAAAGAAAATGGTAATTGCCATCTATACTCGTATAGAAATGGGCGAGATTAAGGGAGACTATAGTAAAGTGAGATTATGTCGTAAATTAGTGCTTACCTACTTGAGTTATCCTTCTTCCTTATATTTGTGACCACACAAAAATTACACAACTATTCTGTGAGATGGGGATATTATATATAGGCGAACTTATTACTAGTACTGGATCTCATATTTACCTGAGGGCCACTAACAGACTATAGTGGTCTCGATGAGGACAGGAGGCCGGCGGCTTGTCAAAAGTCCCCCCTCATTTGTCCTGATAATATTTTAAAGCTGGATTTTAAAATTCAACAAAGTTTTGGTATTTACGGCCAAATTTGGTATTTTATTTTGGTATTAATCGCGAGTAGGCGGTTCCATGGGTTTATAACCCTGTGGGTGAGAAAGCCTCTGCTATCAGTCTCACATTATGACTTGTTTAGTTTGAAGCCGTTGCTCCTTGTTTGTGTTACATCTCACCTTTTGAAGAAGTTGTCCGGATCAACATCATCAATTATTGTTAGTATTTTGAAAGTTTCGATGAGATGAGCCATGTCATGTCTAGTTTGCAGTGTTGTTAACAGAGTACATATACACTCTGTAATACCTTATATAATTCATAATAATTCATTGTGTCGGGGGACAAGCAGGCAGTATACATATGCATGCTACACCTCGAGGTCCCCGCCCCCCCCCCAGGGCAGAATTACCGACCCTCCCAAGGATACAACCCCGCAACAAGCTGACTCCTGGGTGTCTATTTACTGTCATTAGGGGATTGAAAATGATTTAGAGCAATTAAACAAAAATTAGATGATAGAAAATACGCTTAACCAAGATAAGGACTATATTTTCCCTGTCTAGTGGTAAGACACTCGCCTGGCGTTTCGCGAGCGCTTTGTCCTAGGTTCGTATCCTAGCCGGGGAGGATTGACTAGGCGCCAATCCTTAACTGTAGCCACTGTTTACCCAACAGTAAAATGGGAACTTGGTTTAAGCTTTAATTTTTTTAAATAAAGGTTTAATTAAGCTTTAAAGCCTGAAAAGCTTCAATGAGCCTGGTTTGAGAACAGATTGTGGAGCATAAACTTGCATCATAATAAAAGACTACGAAACAATGGTTAATTATCGGAGAATGTCGCTGGCAGTCAAGGCTGACCTCAGAATATCATTATAGGTTTCGAGGAACTAAGTGCTCATGGTGTAGTGGTTATCACATCTGTCTAACACACAGAAGGTCCCAGGTTCGATCCCTGGTGAGCACAATACTTTTTTTGTTTTTTTAATGTATGATTGTAACCTTTTGTGGAACAGGAAGGCATTAGTCCCCAGAAAGAAAGGCAAGTAATATAGTTAACGATGTGAAAAGGTATTAAATAACAAAAATTATAAATATTATTCGTTCGTTCATTATAATATTTGGAAAACAACATATAGCATTAAGTCTCTCGAATAGTGAAGGTAAACCAGTAAATGGAAGTA